GCTCTAGACACCCTAACTCATTTTGGGGGTCTTACAAAACCAGTCAGCCTTTGTCCAAGAAAGATCAATGATGCATAATGTACTCATTTGACATGATATCTTGAGACATTAAAACCGGAAGAATGCATATACAAGATATATTATGAAGATACATTTGATAAAAGCCTATGATATGGTCAGCTGTGAATTCTTGGAGGAAGTGCTAATTCATTTTGGGATTCCTGGACAATTTGTGAAGTGGATTATGTTGGGAGTAACAGCCACCATGTTCACAGTCAAAGTCAATGGGTGTAATTATGGTTTTTTACACGCAGAAGAGGTTTGAGGCAAGGAGATCTAATATCGCCTTTGTTGTTTATACTTGTGATGGAATACTTGTCTAGAACACTACATACAATGAGTCAATTACCAGACTACAAATACCACCCAATGTGTAAGAAATTGAAACTCACACACCTTATATTTGATGATGATCTCATGAATTTTTCAAAGGAAATGTAGACCCAGTGAATAGAGTAATAGAGGCATTAGCTCACTTTAGTGATGCTACTGGTTTGGAGGCTAACTTGGAGAAATCTAATGTGTACCTAGAAGGGGTTGATGAGAGTATAAAAATTCAAATCCTAGCCTGAACTGGATCTTTAGAGGGTGTGTTTCCAATTAAATACTTAGGGCTCCCCTTGTCACCTAAGAAATGGAAAAAGATTGAATGTTGGTCCCTGATAGAAGAATAAAAGTAACATACTCAAAACAACTTTCATAAGCAGGAATATTGCAAGTGATTAATGTAATACTTATCTCAATTCATAGCTTCTGGGGAGTAATTTTCATCCTTCCCCACAGTATTTTGAAGAAAGTGGATCAGTTATACAAAGATTTCCTACGGGAAAGCTGTGTTGATAAGAGAAAGGTAGCTTTGGTTGCATGGGAGAAAGTGTGCTTTCCAAAAAGGCAAAATGGTTTGTATATTAAAGGTTGTAGCAATTGGAACAAGGCATCTGTGGGTCAATTATATGGAAAATTATTATTTACAAAGAGTCACTGTGGGTTAAATGGTTCACGGCATATATATGAAAACTGACACTTCAATATGGACTCATAAAACTCTTGTCAACAGTAGCTGTTATTGGAGGAAAATTAATGCACTCAAAGAGCACATGCAGGGGCTAGTACAATCAAAGAGGATATATGTTGACTAAAACTGGTAAGTATTCTATTACTAAGAGGTATCAAGAACTTATGGGGCCCAAGCCTAGATGGAATATTGCGGAATTAATCTGGACGTCAATGGCTATACCAAAACATAGATTCATGACATGGCTAGCAGTCCAAGGGAGATTACTCACCCAGGAAAGAAAGTTGAGACTGCAGATTCAAGTGAAGGATACTACATGTTATGTATGTGAGTAAATAGTAACGGAAACTTATGTCCATCTCTTTGAAGATTGCAAATAGGCATCATCTATGTGGCAAGCTATGCAACAGTGGCAAAAGTTCCAATGCAGAATATTGGTATTGTACAGATCCTGGAAAACATAAAAAGGTTTCATTGGAAGCAATTCAAAAAAGAGATCATGGCAGCCATATGCGGAGCAATTATATACCACACTTGGCGTGCTAGAAATTGGAGGAGATTTAGAGACATGTGTGTACATGCGGAAGATGCAGTAACATAGATAAAGAAGGAAATTAGTGAAAGATTACACCTACTTGGTGGTTCAAAGAAGGCAAGTAAATGTAGACAATTTATTCACCATTTGTTATGTAACTAGTTGTTTTGTTTTATTAGAGGCCTGTTATCTGTTTCAGGAATAGGTTCTCTTTTATTTGTATTTGTTCTTTGAAGGTTATGGTAATATTTTACAGTTGTTACCAAAACAAATTATTTATTTTTTATGTGAATTCAATAAATATTGTACATAAATTTGTAAGATACCATAATTTTGGTGTAATCAAAATTAACTTTAATTTAATCTCAAAACATTCTTTAAATAAATAAATACTAATTTATCAATTAAATAATATCTCTATATGTGGTTTGATTAATCATACACACAAGTTTCGCTGCAAACTAAATCATCTTCTGAAAAGTAATGAAGTACAGTTTCATTATGGACCGGAATTGCGTGCTGAAAGGCGACAAGGAACCATGGCTGGAATGCGATGGATTAGGTCGGAAAGTAGATCGACGGGAGGCGCGTGGCAAGATAAGGAAAGAGAGGATTATCAGCCGGATTTTTTGGATGGATTCTGTATGAGAAAGGAAAACAAATCTTGGAATGATCAGGCAGAAAATATTGGGGAAGTGAGGGAAGGAAAAGGAAAGAATATGCAAAAGAAAAAAGCAAATGATGTTCATTGTGAGAATGAGAGTGTTGCTAATAATGGAAACAATTACGAGAATCTTGGGATAGTTATGAGGGATGGAGTTGAATATGAAAAAGATATAGTGGAAGATGATCTTGATGATGAGGGGTTGACGCCGTTAGAGAAAAGAAGGAAACGCGACGCAGCCGACAAATTCATTCCTTCTAATGGGCCAAAAAACTTGTCCAAGGCGAGTTTTGGTCTCCTGGACCGCCTAATCCAATGAGCTTCTTAAGCTGGAATTGTCGAGGGCTTGTGAACCCTTGTACAATTCTCGAACTAAAGGACTTGGTCCAACAGAAGAAGCCCAATTTAATTTTTTTACAGGATACTAAAGTTAACAAGACTAAATTACAACAACTTTGTGATAATTTAGTCTTTGAAGGCTTGAATGTTGTTAATCCAGAAGGCCAGAGTGGTGGCTTAGCCCTTTTATGGAAAGATAAGCACATGTGCTCAGTAATTAATTCTCAAAAATATTTTATTGATGTGGAGGTTCATATCGGAGGGATTCCTGACTTTCGATATACTGGATTCTATGGTTGCCCTGTGACAAATTGAAGGAGGCAGTCTTGGGAGATCTTAAAGTCTTTGAAGAATAAATCCCCACTGCCGTGGTGTATCGCAGGGGATTTCAATGATATACTTAGCTATGGAGATAAGATGGGGAGAATTCAACAATCCACTTGGAGACTTGATGGTTTTCAAGAAGCGGTTAATTTCTATGAATTACATGACTTGGGATATGTTGAAAATAAATTTACTTGGGAAAGGGGAAGAGGTACAGATGGATGGGTTTTAGAAAGGTTGGATAGAGCCTTTCCAAGGACTGGTTGGCGTGTACTGTTCAACAGAGCTACGGTGTACCATATGGAAACTTCTTGTAGTGACCATATGGCTCTTTTTATCTCCTTAGGAATAAGCATTAGATATTCACCTATGAAGTTTTGTTTTGAAAATTCATGGCTCCGAGAAACTGATGTTAAGGAGGCAGTAGAAGAAGGTTGGAATCGTGGAAAGGGACAACATATTACATCTCAAATTGAACATTGTGGGAGCTTTTTACAGACCTGGGGTCACAACATAAAGCAACAATTTTAACTTAAGATGAGGCATTGCAAAACACAGATGAAGAGACCTAGAGGTAGTAGAGATTTGACTCGTGTTGCTCTCTATAATAGTGCCAAGATTCTTATGAAATCTTATTGAACCAACAAGAAAATTATTGGAAACAGAGATCAAAACAATTATGGCTGCAAAGAGGTGATCAAAATACTCGTTATTTTCATCTTATGGCCACCTCAAGACGGAAAAAGAATACAATATCACAATTGAAAGATGAGTCAGGAAGTTTTAATTGGAAGAATGGATTGAGTGACCTTATTGTAAACTATTACAACAATTTGTTCAAGACACAACAGGGTCCATCTAGTGTCATTATTGACATTGTTGATAGGATTGTTTCTGATGAAATTAATGAGGATTTGAAGCGCCCTGTTACAGTTGAAGAGATCAAACATGTTGTTTTTAGCATGAACCCGGATAAAGCTCCCGGACCTGATGGATTAAATCCAGGTTCTTTCGACATTTCTGGAGTACGGTAGGAGATGATGTTTCTAAGGCCATTATGGAATGTTTGAATAACAATTCACCTGCGCCAGGAAGTAACAATACTAATATTGTGCTAATCCCAAAAAAGAAACAACCTGAATTTGTTTCAGATTTACGGCCTATCTCCCTATGCAATGTTGTTGATAGAATCACTTGTAAAGTCCTTGCGAACAGAATGAAACGATGTATGAATCTAATAATCTCTGAGGCCCAAAGTGCATTCATTCCAGGAAGATACATTACAGATAATGCAATGATTTCCTTTGAAGCTATGCATTATCTAAAGAGGAAAACACAAGGCAAAGTGGGTTATGCAGCACTAAAAACAGACATGAGTAAAGCTTATGATCGCGTTGAATGGGACTTCCTGCGAGCTATGATGATAAAGATGGGATTTTGTTTGGAGTGGGTGAATAAAGTTATGCAGATGGTAACGACAGTTACTTATAAATTTAGTCATGATGGCAAACAGTTCGAAAATATTTCTCCAAGGAGAGGCTTGAGGCCAGGTGATCCAATATCACCTTATCTATTTTTTATAGTTGTAGAAGGTTTATCAGCATTGTTGAAACGAATGTCTATTCAGAGTCGAATTCATGGTGTCAAAATTTGCAATAAAGCACCATCTATTTCACACCTATTTTTTGCAGATGATGCTTTATATTTTTTTAAAGGAGCAAAGGAGGAGGCAAAAACTATCAAGCTATGTTTGGAGATTTATCAGGCGGCCTCTGGTCAACAGGTAAATTTTCAAAAATATGATATTTTCTTCAGTCCTAATACAAATGAAAGTGTGAAAAAAGAAATCGTAGATATCCTTTATGTCAAGGAGGTGAATTCTCCTGTAAAGTATCTTGCATTGCCGGCACTAATAGGAAGAAGCAAAAAATTTGTCTTTGCTTATATTCATAATAGAGTAATTGCAAAGATAAACAGTTGGAAGTATACTAGTCTTTCTCGAGCAAGGCGAGAAGTATTGTTCAAAACAGTGGTTCAATCAATTCCAACCTATGTGATGAATATGTTCGTACTTCCCAGTAATATATGTGAACCTGTTGAGCGAGCTATGAATGGATTTTTGTGGAAATCGGGAACGAGAGAAAATCGAGGAATAAAGTGGATGTCTTGGCAGAAAGTTTGTCTGCAAAAGGAGGATAAAGGTCTCAGCTTTCGGGAGCTCCATCATTTTAACATTGCCATGCTCACAAAAACAGGGTGGAATATGTTAACTAGGCTTGAGGCTCTTGTGAGTAAGCTTTTTCAAGCTCGATACTATTATAAATCTGATTTTCTCCATGCGGAACTAGGCTCAAATCCTAGCTTTGTATGGCGAGGTTTATGTGCAGGAAAGCGTATTCTGAAACAAGTATGTCTCTGATGTATTGGGGATGGAAAAACAACAAGAATTTATGATGATCCATGGCTCTTTAAGGAGAACTCAAGTTATGTTGAAAGCTCTAATTTTCTTGGAAGTGAGAGTTTTTTTGTAACAGATCTTATGAAACAAAGTGTGAACGAATGGGCTTGGATTTGTTATGTGTTCTGTTTAATGAAGTTGAAATGGAGGCTGTTAGACCAATTCCGTTGAATATTAGGCCTCAAAGAGATACTTGGATGTGGAAATTGGACAACAAAGCATTATACTCTATGAAAAGTGTGTATCGTCTCCTTTATAATCAACACATATTACCAAACTCGCAGGACCAATAACTTTGGATATTCATCTAGAGTATATCATTGCCGCCTAAGGTGCTTAACTTTATCTGGAGAGCTTTTAGAAATTTTTTACCTACATATGAGAGTCTTTATAAGAAAAAATGTGTAGCTAGTCCAATTTGCCCTCGATGTTTGCAAGCATCAAAAACTGTGAAACATTGCTTGGTAGATTGTCAATTTGCAAAACAATGTTGGATTCAATCAAAGTTTGGTTGGCAGGATGTACTAGGAGATTTGTGGCATGGTTTGAAGAGCAAAGAAAGAGCAATGCAAAAATGAAAATGGAGGAAGCAGTCATGATTTTATGGAGCTTATGGGAAGCCAGAAATAATTTATGTTGGAACAATAAACAAAGTGCGCCCGCTGCCACTTTGTACAGTGCAAAGAAGGAGCTGAAGGAATGGAGGAGCGCTAATTCGGGAGCCGAGATGACTGTTGTTGCTGCTACAAAAATGGTTGCTAAATGGGAGCAACCTTTGCTTAACACAATTAAATGTAATATTGATGCTTCTTACGAAATCAATACTGGTTTGGCAGGAATAGGCATGGTGCTACGTGATCATTTGGGTCAATTTATTGCGAGAAAATTTTTAATTCTTTGTCGTGTGGCTAGCCCATTGTTGGCCGAGATCATAGGGGTGCATGAGGCTCTTAGTTGACTAAAGGAATGATTCAATAAAACGAGGTTGGTTGTGGAAACTGATAATCTACTTGTGAAGCAAGCTCTAAAAGAAAACTTGGTGAATTACTCTTACTTTGATTCTTTAGTTTTTGATTGTAAAACTCTTATCAGAGTTACCTTTTCTTTCGTTGTCGACTGTTAAGAAATAACCGAATTAGGTTGCTCATTGTCTTGCTAGAGCATCCGTTTCTATGTTTGGTTCGATGGAGTGGGATACTAAACCTCCATCTCTCATTACCGATGTACTCTTTTGCAATACGAATAATACATGATGAACGAACTATTTAAAAAAAAATCTATAAAATAATTATATTTCATGGTGTCACCTATATTAAATTTTAACTGTAGATAAAGATTATAGATAACAAATATTATGAAATTAGTAATTAATCAAAGGAAGTCAAAAAGTTATTAGTAACATTTCAATTAAAATGCTACAATTTAATATTTAAATAATTAAATATTTTGTAACATTGGGATATATGTTCGTGAACTTTACAGTGGATTAAAAATCATTCGATAACATAGACCTATTTATCGGCCTTCAGTTGTGTCAATTTGACCTTATAGAATTAATATACAAGATCCATAAACTATCACTATTTTGCAATTTCATACTTGGGTTGGGTATGTCCCAAGGATTTAACAAGACTGCCACTTTTATTATCAATCTATCTATTGAAATTAGTGATAGTTATAAACTAATCTTTCAAAAAAGATATCAGTTGTCCACTGCTACATGGGATATTAATTTTCATTCTCAAGAAAGTGTTCTTTCAATAATATGAGGAAAATGAAAAAACAAGAAAGGGATAACTTAAAAAGACAATACATTACCCCAGATTATATTCGTTTTGAAAAGAAAAAAAAGTTAAAGAACATAAAGGAAAAAAACACTAAAACAATATAATTTTTTACTTAATTAGTGGTTAAGGAATTCAACTTGGCCTTATTTTTATTTTACCTCCAACGAGTCATTCAGTAAGTCACTATAACTTGAGCAGAGTTGCAGCTTAAGGAAAAGAATTTGCAAACAATCCATTTGAGTACCATAGTTCAATATGGTTATAATAAACATTCCATAAAAGACTACTCAAATGATTATACATTTGCAACTACATAAAAGACGTAGGTGCACCAGTTGACAAAGAATCAACCACATCGGAAAATATATACATCTATCACATTACGCAAGTGCAGGGGTGGCATAATCAGCCATGAAAATATACAAGATCACACTCCCGATATGGTACTAGTTTTCCTTAATCGTAAAACAAAACGACTGGAAACAAAATGATAATATGTTAATGACTTCAAATTATGCATTAGCTTGTCACACTTCAAACCACGGCAAGATGTTGAGTTAGCACAACAATAATCTCAACTCCAATTTACAAAAACTAAAATTATCCCAGATTGTATATATGATTAGAACAAAATCATACACTTGTAATAACTATATATACATCTACAAACTATGTAATATATATTCATAGAGGATTCAGGTTACCATTACCTTGAAGTCTTCCATATCAACAACACTCCCACGACTCTATGATGTGAATGTCAGATATAGCAAACACACAAAGGAGAAAAAATGAACTCTTGGATATGCTCCTTGAGGAAGAACCAGTAATTCATTGCCATTCATTATGCTTTCAATCTCTCCAATTTAGGATACAGCCCTGGCCTTGCTATTTCTTGGTCGTTCTTTAATCAACTTCCTTGATAGGTTCTGCAACAGAATGAACAAGAAATTTCAGGCCATTACAGAATTCTTTTTACAAGTCAAGCTTGAGAAATTTAAGATCATTCCACTACACTTTTCATCAGTTGAGATTTTTAACGTCCATATCACATTTTAAACAAAAAAGGACAAGGAAAGAACCTCAATATTTAACCAAGATCAAAAAAAAAAAAAAAACACAGCCCTGAGCATGTTATTCTTCTTACATCGACCAAAATTCAACCGACGAGCGAAAATAAACATGGAGATACTAGACAAGAAAATACATACAGTGCATCTATATTCAATAACAATTTGGGGGATTTAGACCTGTAAAAGAATATGAAAAGACAAGAACCTGGAATGACTCAGGAATATTCAAAACAAAAGCAACATCACATTTCGTCATACAAGACTTTGCCAAGAGCACCTCGAGTGTAACAACCAACAAATCTCAGAATGAACTAATATCAACAACAAAAAGAATTTTTTGAAATATTTAGCATCACCAGACGAACCTATAAACAGCTCTCATGAATTACTTCGTCAATGCTAATGGTATACATCAATGCTCAAGTCTTTTTCAAAGGCGAAGAATTATTAACAAGTTATACTACCAAAAATTAAACATACAGCAAGCACAGATACGAAATAAATGATTAGAAATGGTATCAAACCTCCACAATTCTCCCACGATTATCGAACAAAATGAGATCTTTAGGCAACACATCATTTGTAATGGTGCAATCACGTGGAATCTCGAAAAAAGAAAGGGAAAACTGCTTAGAAACAACTCCGACATCAAAATAAATCAACCCAGAACTAGGAATATCAACACGGATCCCTTTAACAGAGAACCAAAGAAAGAGTTCCTCAGCCGCTACACCAGAAATTTCTGAAATCTGACCATAATTTAGGGTACCCGACACGGTACTATCATAACGTAAATGGGTTTCGAATTTGGCAGCACAGGACTGCGGAAGATGTACCTCAAATCTACCTGATGAAGGATCTATTGAAAAATTGTTAATTCCCTTAGGTAGAAGACCAACAGGGAGTCCATGGGAGTTAAGAACATCATAAATTGAAGATGATGAAAATTTGTTGTTTACAGAAATGGAGAAAGGTGAAGCTGATGATGAAAGAAGGAAGATTGTGAAGAGAGTGAATACTGTGAAATGCATTGACGCCATTTTTGAAGAGGAATTTTGTTAAGGTTAGGGTTTAGGGAGAGAGGTAAACTGGGAGAGACATTCTTTTTGTTCCCTTTATATTTTATTAATTTACTTTTCCTTTTTTGAGTTTCGAAATTTAAATATGATTCTACTTTGAATAACAAATTTAGAAATTTCCTATTTAAAAAAATAGATTCTATGTGCTTATTTAGAAAACTAAGTGTGTGGTCATGAAAACTCAAATATTTTAAACACATAATAATACCCTCCTAGGCGATAGTTGTCTATTACACAAAAATATTTATTAAATAATATTTACTTATTTTTATATTTTTTTTTATTTTTTATATTAATATATTTTTAAAAGCATTAAATTTAATTAATACTAATATTACTTGTATAATTATTATTTCTAAAGAAATATGTGTCAAGTTAATAGTGGATAATTATTGTAGGATAAAGAAAAATATTTTTTTATATAGGAAAAAGGATAAAAAAATATCCTTAAATTATGTGAAAAGAACAAAATGTCCTTCGTTTAAAATTTGGCTCAAAAATGTTTTTTCTGTTAATACTTTGATTCAAAAATGTCCTTAAACTATGTGAAAGGATCAAATAAGCCCCCCGTTTGTAGTTTAGTCATCAATAGTTTGGTTCAGAAATACGCTTATTGTTATTTAATGGGTCAAAAAAGGTTCATTTTCCAAATAAATATTTTTTTTTTGACACGTTTTTTTCAGTTAGTGATTTTTAAAAAATTAACAAATGTTTATTTTACTTTAATTTAGAAAAAAAATTATTTTATCATCAATATTTTTTAGCGATATATAAATATAAAGTAATGATAGATATACTATAATCTTATATATTTGTGGGCATATATTATCTATCGAAAGGGTACATGAAACTATTCTATTTTAATTGATAAAATGAGATTAAGAAGAAAAAAATATTTTCTATATTTTTATTTGTTTAAGTAATTTTAGAAGAAAGAAATAAGAATAGTATTCCTTAATAATATTTTAATTTAAAAGAAAATGTGTTTAAAAATAAAAATATAATATATTTATTCGAAAAAAAAAGATATTTTTGATCCATTTATAAGGGGTAATTATCCGTAACTCATATAATAATTTTATTTTATTTGCTTCTTGTTTTTACTTTCTTTAACTGTAAAATCTATATGGTGATGTGACATGTTTTTCTCCTTTTTGTTGGATATATTTTTCTACATTCATTATATTTATTAGATAAAATAATAAACATTAAATATTCCATATGTCCCTACATGGTAAAGGAACGATATTAATCATTTGCTATCCCACTTCACAGGTTAATTATTTCACATTTCGCAACTAATAATTTTTTTTCTAATTGAGCACTATATTGATAATGACAGTTTTTTCATTTGTGTAATTTCTAATTCCAGAAATACTTATTGTGCAATAATCTATATCAATTATCGTACTATTTTCTTCATTTCAAATTAGTTGAAGTATTGAGTTATTTTACATTTTTTAAAAAATAAGATTAAGTTATAAATTAAGTATAATTTTTCATTTTTACCTTATTAATTAATGTCAAATTTATGATTAAAATAATTAAAATATTAATTAATAATTAATTTCAATGTTGACTAATTAATGGTAAAATCGAAAAATCATTCTAAAAGTAATCTTGAAAATTAAACAATTAAATTAATTTTAAAAATGAAAAATGTCATAACAATTCAATTTATTTGAAATGAAGGGAATACTAATTAAATTATATGCCTTCTAATCGGAGGAAGTCTCACATTCATATTCATACGGGGCACACATGCATCCGTTAATTTTGGAAAAACTCATATTATATGTTTATCTATTACTAAAAATTTGATACTAAAATTATTAAGCTATAAGTAACTGTATACTCATAAACTTATTATAAATTTAGGGAATCCCATAGTGTAATATAATAATTACATTCTGTCCCGACAAATTTAGTATTTACTAATAATCCCTTAAAATTGTTGGTGTGATACATTAGTATGTTGTGATACATGGTAAATGATACACAGTAACTTAAAACTGTTACGATTAAAAGGCGGAAAAAAGGAACATTTTAAATTTGTTATCTAAATCAGCTTAAATTACGGTAACAGTTCATTAATAAGCATTAATTCAACACGTAATTGGATAACAATTTCAAATTTTGAAAATTTAAGATTATATCATCTAGTCTGCAGGAATTTTTATGAACGTCCAGTTATCAAACTTATTGACTGATACATGATAATAATTTTTAACCACTCGTGATACATAGAAAATCATATGATACACATCAAATTCATGTATCAACGCATCGTCTAAACACTATAACACACTGAGTCGATATGTATCAGCAAGCACACTTGATGGCGCAGTTATTAAACTTATTGACTGATACATGATAACAATTTTCAAAAACTCTTGATACATAGGAAATCATATGATACACGTCTAATTCATGTATCAATGCATCCACTAACACTATAACACACTGAGTATTTATGTATTAAACTTATTGTCTGATACATGATAACAATTTTCAAAAATTCATGATACATATGGGATTCCTTTACAAAAATTTTTACTAATTTCAACAACAATGGTTGCTGCTTATTTTCTCTTTTTTTTTTGTGTATTTTGTCAACCTTTGATTTAGATGATTCGCCAAAATCTTTGTTTGAATCCTTCCGAACATAGGATCATGCAAAGACTTTTTTCTATTTTCTTTCGAATTTTCATCGTCCGAATCATAAATCCTTCTATTAGTAAAAGGATCTATTAATATGATGTAATAGAACAATGAACAAAAAAAAACGGATGATGGAGTAAGAAGAAAAAGAAGACCTAGAGACGGCTGATGTAATATAGCAATGAACAAAAAGAAAAAAAGAAGAAAATAAGAACAAATGATGGATTAAGAAGAAGAAGAAGAAGAACCAGAGAACAATGGTCCAATTTTCAGAAATTTCAATTTTTTTGAATTTTGAAATTCAAAATTTCATATTAAATGTTGTGAAACGTTTTTAATTAAAATTTATAATTCAAAATTTAAAAAGTGATTCAGAAGATTGAGTGTTTTAGTGGAGAAAAAATAGGTATGATATTGGGGAAGTATGTGTTATAGGAGAGAGAAGACTATGTATCTCAAAACTTTTACTAAAATTTTAAAAAAAAGAATTATATAATTTTAAAAAAAAAAGGAAAAATTAGAGAATACTAAACTTATAGTTGTGAATTTAAGTTATTTTTCCTAAAAAGTATATAATGCTCTTGTGTTGTCAATACTAGGCTACGAGCTAAGTTAGAGAAACCATCTGCGAGACTAGAATTTTGTATCTAGCTAGGCCCTAATTCTTTCTTCTACTTTTTTTAAGTTTATTGGTGCACGTAAATTATATGTATAGAAAGTGACTGAGACATCTTAATTATCCAAGAGTCCTAATTATTGTTTTTGTGTTTTAGCCTTTTTGTGTATTATTTTATTTATGTTATTTTATTTTGTAAACATAAGTGTCTTGATTGTTGATATTATTCTAATTTCTTTCGGTACTTTTAATAAAGATGAAGAGAATGATGTCTTAACAGCTGAAAAAGCCAATTTTAGTGCTTTTTTCCATAATATTATTGCGATTTGCATTGGATTAGTATATAATATGTGTATCATTTAAATAGAAAAAGGAATACATGATTTTATATATATATATATATATATATATATATATATAAAAGTAAAAATAAATGTTAAACTTCTCCTCCTAAATCGAAAAAACTGCCCCTCAAAAGTCATATTTGTTTTTATAAAAGAGGCAAATAATATTTTGTCTATTTTAATCTATTTTTTATATGTATATTGTCCTTACAAATATGAAAATTTGTTTTCGTCTTAGATTATGTAGTTGGTTTTTCATTTTTGGAGGTTCAAAATTTTATCTTTTTTTTCATCAACTATATTATTATTTATCTTATTTTCTCAATCTTTTAATCCTTCACCTTTGGTTATTATTCCTTCATTTTTAATTATAAAATCTTAACAATTGTTTTATACTTTATATTTATTGTTGTAACGGAGTAAGAAGAGTAGTAAGAGCAATAAAGAGTTGTAACATTCTTATCACATATAAATAAATAATAGTTGTAACATTCTTATCACATATAAATAAATAATAATTTTTATTCAGAATTTAATTTGATTGAGAATGTTAGAAATATTTTCAATTTTAAAATTTTATTTTTTCATCCCTTAATCCTCTCCCCCGCCCTTATCAGCCCTCCACCACCAAAATATTTAAGTTTGTTTTTAGAAAGTATTTTCAATTTCAAATTTTCATTTTTTCATCTCTATCCTCGATTTCCCCAACCCACCCATCCCCTAATAGCCCCCCAACCTAATTTTTTTTTAAAGTTTGTTGTTAAAAAAATACTTTCTACTTTAAAAAATCATTTTCACCATTGTCTCCCCCCCCCCCCCACCCCCACCCCCAACAAAAAAAAACCCCACACACACCCTCCCCAAACAAAAAAAAAATTATGTTTGTTTTTAAAAAATATTTTCAATTTTAAAAATTATTTTCTATTCTAGTAAAATAAAAGATATATGTCAAAATATTTTTTATTCAAAAATTAAACACAAAAAACCTTTTTTAAAATTTTTTTTTACTCACCAACCAAACATGAGAAAATAAATAAAAAATCTACTTATTTTCGAGAAAAAACTTTTTCTTCCATACCAAACATACTGTTAATGTTCTTTCTAGTCCTGAAAATCTTGTATCTTATTGGATATACTATTAATTATATTGTTTAACTATATTATTATGTTTTTATTATTATTTAAAAATTGATTATATACATATACAACTCACCTCTCTCTGACTCTTTGTCCTCTCTCGCTCGCCTCTTTTCTCCTTTTTCCAATCTCGCTCGTCACTCACCTCCCTATTGTTGAATCCATCCCATTGTTTTAGTCAACTTTAGCTATTCAATTGGTACAAACAATTGTTAAAAAAGAATAGTAATTGGAGTTGAAAAGAAAAGATTTGGACATTTGGTAGTTGGCAAATTGGTAAGATTTGCAACCATTCTTGA